GCCCGGAGAAGCGCGGCTATCAAAAACTTGGTAAATGAGCGGCGTGTCTCCGAGGGGGTTCCCCGATTAGAAGTCCGCCGGCGAGAATGAGGCAATTCGTTCCAGCGTTTTAAAGGGCTCGCGCGCCACCACGTACTCCGTTTACTTACATTGCGTCCCGTGTCAATGCACTCTCTCTCAGGCCGACGTGGAGACGACGTTCCGGTCCGCGAGTGTCCGTTCGTGCGCGATTCGGAGTCGGCGACCGCGACGAAAGCAGCCCAAACCAGACGGCAACGGCGAGCCGAGCCGAGCCGAGCCAAAACGAGGATGGGACAAGATCACGGACGAGACAACGGCCACGTACGCGCGTGTCTGGCCCTGACGAGCCCTTATTCACTTCACCGCGAACTAGCCGGCCGGCCGTCTCCGGCAACCCTCCGCGAGAGTAGTCCGCCGCCTCCGCACGAGCCGCCACCGCCGCCACGACGCACACTACGGGCGTATTGTGTCCCGCGCGCGTGTACTACCGCCCGTGGCTCCGGCTGGTAAAAGAAAAAAAGGGGAGCGAAGAAACCGCCGCCTCCGCCACCACCACCGCCGCCACCGCCGCCGACGCCGCCGCCACCACCACCATCACCACCGCCGCCGCCACCGCCTCCACCACGCCGCCGCCGCCACCACCGCCGTCGCTGCCGCCGCCGGTTTTATAATCAATATTAGTTGACGGAGAATCCGCGCCGCGTCGCCGCTCGTCACGTGAGGTCGCTTGGTGGGGGGAGAAGCGCGAGAGCGAGGGAGAATAGAGAGAGAGATGGATAGATAGATGTATATATAGAGAGAGAGAGAGGCTGCGAGAGACACGACGGTCTCTTCTTTATCATCCCGGCCGCGCGCGGCACGGATATGGCGATAAGCCGCGTAGCAGTCGATGGCACCGACGGTCGACCGGTTTAACCCTTGACCCGAGGGTTACTCGACCCTTCCTCGGGGACGGGAGATTTTTGAGTGGTAAAAAGATCGGTGTGAGATAAGCGGGTGTAATGTTTCGTGAAAATTATTTCGATTGAATCGTACGATATTGAATGATAATATGTGATGATAATGTGGTAGATGTCATTGTCTCTGAAATATGGTGGGAATTTTCATTTGGACAAATAAAGTTCGTTGCTTTCATACAGAGACATTCGTCTGTGTCTCCGGTTTATATCAGGAATTGCGCTCTCTCTCTCTCTCTTTCTCTCTGTCACACTCGCAACTAATACGTCGTCAGTAATAAAGCGTGACCGATCTTCGCGCGATATTTTTTATCTCGATGATATCATGGACTTGCTTCGCTACGATATTAGTTATGAAATGATTGCTTTTAAACTCTGTTGCCAAATACAATGTTATCAGTATAAATATATTCGAGATATATATATATATATATATATATATATATATATATATATATATATATATTTGTCATATATATGTGTATGCGTGAATTCCTCGTGAATCTTCGATTTTTTGAACATTGAAAAAAACGTTTTAATTATTAATTTTGACATTATGTCAAGAAATCAGATAAATTGCAGCAACGTTCCAAACAGTCGCTTGAGAAATAACGGTAAATAAAGTAAAAGGTATTGTCGGCGAGCGAGTTCGGCTCGATATCGATTGTATTATTTCTATTCGCCGTGGCTGTACGGATTTGGATGTTCACTCGATCGTGCAGTGAGGGGTTCATGGAAAATGAGTTTCATCGTATTATCGTGGAATCGATTTTATACTAGAAGAGCAGCGACTGCGGTGTTCCGTTTTGATTAACCTCGTGTAGTATCTTTTCATTGATATTCTAATAATCACGGATTTGAGTATGCAAATTTTTTCCGTTTGAGAAAAAAGTCGATCAAATTGTAAACTTTTACGCTGCTCGCTTCGCATCTTTAGAAAAAGAGATAAAGATTTTACATTAGGAATATTATCATGCGCAGTTTTATCGTAAATAAATAATTACTTATGATTATATTAAAGACCCCGGAATTTTGTATGACGGAAAAATATTTAGTACATTATTCGAGCAAAGAACAACGTTTTCATCAAGAGATATTCGATTGTAACCCTTTCACTGTTACATGAAAAATATTGTATTGTTCTGAAATCTCGTGCCATTTTTAAGCATTAATGATGGAGAATTTTTGTCATGGAATGTAAAGAAATTCTGGTAAAACGAATGTTCAGTTCGTGCGAAAAGATATATTGCAAGAAATATTGCGAAACGAAGAAGTGCATATACGAAATACTGCGTGGATTTTTGATATTTTTCAAAGAATTGTCAAAAAATTGTCATATATTCGTAATTTCAAGAGTAGACTTTTGATCTAGAGAGAATGTTTCAATCATCATTAACATTAATGTCGCAGAAATTACCTGAGTCGCGCAAAACAAATCTACACTTGAAGATCTCTTATGCGTTTATATTTCTTCCTTCTATTTTTGCAAATTGGCACGAGCTTTTCGGAAAACCTAATAATTTTTGCGAGCATAGCGTTCGCATATCCATGTTCGTGCTGCGGCAACGTCTCGCGAGTGCAAACTGACGGCAGGGTGTGGCGAGAGATGCTGTTTAAAGAGATTCACTCGGCGGTCAGTTGCGCAGAGCGTTCGCCAGCGGCGCGCCGACTCGACGACGCCGTTGAAAGCGTCGTCGGCGATGCCACCGCCGCCACCTCCACCATCACCGCTCCGCGCAATCGCCACCGTCACGTCGGTCTCTAGCACGCCATCTCGACGATGCCGCCCCCGACGGAGGCGGAGGATTAGCGGCGCACGAGCCGGTATATTACACGTCGGTAGATTATCTACAGAGTTTTCTATCGTCGCGATTACCTCCGGTTTGTAATCCGAAGGATTCTTGCAAGTTTATTTAGAAAAAAATCCATACAGGTTCAAAAAGTTTCAATTCCGCAGGAAATGATTTCTTGAAAAATATCTGAGTAAGGGCGGAAGCGATTTTTTGGAAAAAACGTTACTTTAAAATTTTGATTTGATTTGAAAACACGAAGGAGCATTTCGGATCGTTAATATTATGTATCTTAAATCTAATATATATATACACATTAAAAAAATATATTTATATTATTATTCAAATGATGTTACCTTCTTATTTTACTGCTCTTAATATTTCCTGCATTAAAAATTTGGCTCTTTCAGATTGTTGAAAAGGAAACAATGAAAAGTGACCAAGTCACCCCAGTGAGTAACTGATAGATAGTAAAGACAAGGAAAGTCTACCGTATCGTGAACAGAAACGCGAATCACAATGTCTAAAATGGAGCTTTTTTGGGGATGTCCCGCAATCACTTAAAACCACTGATAATACACCGAAAAATGCGATATACATTCTCTTATGTTCACATGAATAAATTATTTATGTCGCAACGCGAATTTACCGGTACAATTTCGAAGTCGTCGGCGAAAAACGAGCGTGACAATAAGATAAGACACAGCGCGAATCCGAGATGGCTGATCTTCTTACCCCCGTAGGATGTTTAACTTAAAACGCCCGGAGCAGTTCCGAGTCGACATTGCGCGACAGTTGCGAAATAAAACACGGAACAATCGGATGTCTCAGCGAGGAATAACAGCGAAGAAGGAAATCGCAGATACATGCTCCTCTTGTTTACCAGCTGGGACACTTTCTTTCGTTATATTTGATCTTCGCAGTACATCAGAGACGTTCCTTGTCTTTATGGTCTAATAGTCGTTCGTTGCTAATTTATCGTCTCGTTTTCCCTGATTCTCGAGAGCAAACTTTCCGCGCGAATTTGGATGCACTTGACATGTTAAAAATCTTGCATAGTATCATTAATATTAAACAGTACACTCTTGACGTGTGAGACCGATGAGATGAAAACTCGCAAGCCGAGCATGACAGCAGCTAGCGATATATCTCGAGATACTGTTCTTATTTGATCGGAGAGGATCAAATTGCCCGACAACATATCCCATCCGGTTACATGCGCGTCTGGTCTATCTACCTATCACGCAGTAAAAATAGCCGGCGTAACAAAACGCGGAGCATTCCTCCCCGCCAAGGCAGTCGCTTTGTACGGCGAATCTGCAATTGCAGCAGGATAGGATGGGTTCGCGATGAAGATGAGAGGCTCGGCGTATCAATTTCATGCGGTACAAACGGAGGGTGCAGTCACTTCAGAGAATAAAGGAAGGGAGGGTGAAACTTGAACTCAGGAAACCCGACTGAGGCCTCGCTGATTCCAGGGGTTAAGCTCGTAATGCGTCTACTTAAAGGCCAAGGAAGAGGCGAGAATAGGAGGCAGACGTGAGGAGAGGAAGAAAGAGAGAGAGAGAGAGAGAGAGAGAGAGGGGGGGGAGAGAAGGGCATCAAATGGGTGAGAAAGAGAGTCGAGGAAACGAGAGGAACAGGAGCCAAAGGCGATTGCAGGCAATGCAATCTGGATAATCCCTCCATGGAACAGTCGATCTCGCGAGACAATAATGAGTACCTCTATTTGCGACAGATTTAGCCACTTTGGCGCGCAAAAAGAGCGACAGCGAATTTTCCGTGCGTTTTTACGCAAAAGAATAATCCCGTTATTACGGTTGTCGTACGTTTTTCAGGGCTTCGGAGCGATAGAATTTTTATATTTGATAGAAAGAACGCTTTGAGGAATCCCGTTCCTCTGCACGCTGTTGAAAATCATCCTCGAAATTCCGTTTCTCCATCTCCCTTCGATAGGGCGAAAAATATGCGTGTGTGTTGCGAGTGATGATCGTAAAACTTTTTTTTTCGGCGTGCTTGACAAGCGACAGAAAGCGCGGACTCATTACGAGATGTGTATTGCACCCTGACCTCACGGAAAAAATGGAAATTACGTCCTGCAGGAGACGACTTGATTTATCTCGAGAGAAATAAATTGGATCAAAGACCGAAGTAGTTGAGTCGCGAGAAAGAGACACGGAGAAAGTTGTAGACTGTATCCGCGAGTGAAATTTCATAAGAAGTTGAGACTCACCGGTATCGTTGGACTGTCGACCCTTGCCATCTGGATTCCACTCTTCCTCTGTAAACAAACGGAGAAAACAGCAATTAGCGAAAACATCTATCAACAAGAAGCAATTTGCAGGCAACTTCACGCTAACGACCAGAAAGTGGTTAAGGACAAACAGAACTCGCGGAGTAATTCGAAATTATTCGAAAATTGCATCTACTGTCGTTCGTACTGTCGTTGTATCGAATATTTAAGGATATAGAAATTTTGTTCGCCGTAATATCTTTCATATTCTATTTATACTGATAAATATTCCTACTCGTAGTGTGGCCATTTTAAACAATGACTCGCAAATACGGGGAGCTTATGGGAGTGAGTTGTTCTCATCTCGCTACGACACATATTGGTCTTGGGCAAATTTACAATTATTACGATGGTATGGCGCACTTGTTTGGGAGTTTCGAGAAACTTCGATAACAAGTATCGGAAAGTTCCGCGAACGGACTAAAGTTCGAATTCCGGAAAGTTACGGATATTGCACAGAGGCCTAGAGCGGAAAAGCCGCCATCCCTTACACGATACTTTCGCGACTGAGTTCCAAGGACTTGAGAAAGCGCGACTTTGCGGAAGAACCGCGCGAACTGCCAATTTCGATCAGCCGCTCGCAATTCACGATGTCGTGTGGACTCACGCGCGACCGATGTGTCATTATACGAAAACTCAAGATATTGGTGGTTCACAATAGTGAAGTGCCAATACTTTTTACCACGTAAAACATTCACTATTTGCTACTGATGGACGCGATGCAGCACGCGCGAGTATTTCTTCGAGAAAAATTCTTAGACGCTTATGTAAACTGGCTCGGGAAAGGCGCCACGATACACGAAAGTTTTGACTTATTGCGTTATTAACCTCGACCTGCTATTACTTGGTGCAGGTGTGGATTAGTTTCTATACTTCCGATAAATTTCCTTCACACTTCCTCCGAGTATATGAGTATATATGCGCGTACATATCTCTACTCAGTAGTCGAGTAGCTGTGGCGCATGCATGTGCAATCGCGCGAAAATCAAGCAGGCGTTCTCACGGTGCAGGGCGCCTTTTTCCCTCCTACTATTTGCACGTTGTATATTTATGCAAAGTGCACGTCAACGTATGACAAACTGCCAACCGAAGCGCAGAACCAAACCGGGACATGTCTTGTGTGCACGCACGCACGCACGCACGTATGCACGCACGCACGTGCGTAAGTACACGGGGTATGGACACGTGTGTGCACGTGTGTATGTATATTTATGCAAAGCGCACGTCTACACGTGACAAACTGTAAATTGAGAGCCGTCGATGTGCGTATACGCGTCTCGTACATGCACGCCTTCGTATAAGGTGTCTCAGCTGGGCAAATTATCACTTTTCCGTGAATCCTGTTGGATCAATTTAGAAACGACGTTTCTTTATCGAAAATCCCAGCTTCAAAAGTGTAAGCTCTCTTATTAATCGATCAAGAAATGATCCATTAATAAAGTATGATACAGCTCACTAATTTTCCTTATTACTGATCAAATTTAATTATCTTCTTTTCAAGAAAAGAGGTCCACACTTTGTTCCGTGGCAAACGATTTTTCTTCTTATTTAATATCACATGCATCATTAAACTCTGAATTCAAATCTGAACATTTCACTTGAGGCAAGTCTCAAGCAACAACTATTAATACGGACCTAAAAGACACTGCGATCGATTACAGACACCTTGTACGTCCTATATGTGTATATATGTGTGTGTGTGTGTGTGTGTGTGTATGAGTACTTGTATTATGGTGCATATATGAATCACGCATATTTTACGTCGGGTATATACATTGCGGTATCCGTCCGGGTTGACGGTATATATGTACGTTGACCGTGTGAATTTATAAGGATCCACGATGTCGCTGCTTCCGCATTCTCGGCCACGCGGGAGGTATGAATTTAGATTTATACCGTGACGACCTATTTCCTTCAGAAGCACTCGTTAGTGGGTCGACGCTCATTAACAAGGTCACCCGGTGCTTCCTTCGTCTTGGACGCGTTCACGACGATGTTATCGTCCGTGAAGAGTCTCGATCTGAATTTTAGCTCAAGCTCCTTTGTTAATTCAGTGTCGAATTTCCCCGGCAAAACGTTAACAATCTCTGAGTTATACACCATAAAAAACGGACGACTTCTGATATGCGAAGTTTTCGGACAAGTTAATTAATAAACTCCTATTCTTCGTTTAAACTTCAGCAAAATTACATTTTCCACGATTTTCCGATTCTTTATTATTTACTGAGGAAAAAAATGGTTGACCTAGTTAAAGGTACAGTTATTTTTGGCTCCAACCATACTCTTTGCTTGTTCTAACGCGAAAATGGTAGTAACATGCACATAAGGTTATTATTACTAAGGTTATAGTAAAATTTAATAAAAAAATTGCTTTTTCTTGACCACTATTTATCAGTGATTATTCCTTTATGTGATCAGTTAACAAAATCAAACATTTTCTTCTCAGTGTTGATATATTTTGTATATTATAATATGATATATTTTGTCTATATATTATAAAATAGAATATCTGCTTGTATGTTCCTTATAAACTACTGAATCCTTTGACTGGTCTGGACAAAATTTGGCATAGTTACTCTCCAGAAGTTTGCGGATAATATAGACTACTATCAAACTCGTATATGGACCATCCCCCCTCACCCATCCTTCCTGATATCATCTCCTTAATCTTTATGATATTTTGAACTGATATTACATAATATGTATCTTATGTTTTACAGGCTGTATATTCGAGGATTGCGACAAGCCTCTCCCTCTTGCGACTTCCTCTTGCCCAAATTTTGCGTGCAGAGAGATTTCTCAGTCAATAACATCGTGAATTTTCTAATATCCCCGTGATATTGTCTGATGTGTCGGTAGTTATCGCGAGCGAAAAGAATTTTTCCGCGAGTCGCACAAATGGTACGGCAGGTCCGCGCTAAAGAAAAGAAGAGCTCCCCTGAATTCCGATGAAAGTCACGTGGGAAAGCGTGGTGAGTCAAAGAGCGGCGGTATTAAGAAGAGCGGTGAGACGAACAGCTCCGAAGGCAGAGCGCGACGCGCACACAGGGCTTCGCGCTTTTCGCTGCCTCCCTTTCAAACGCGTAACTCCGTTCAGGCCTGTCGAGAATCCGGGACTTTTTCACGGCGCACTTGGCACGTTAAACGGAATTTATATTGGGCCCCGGGCGGTTGGGAAGCCGCTCGTTACGGTAGGACGCCAGCCCGGAAACGGAAATTGTAGCGCCCCTTCGCCTACGACACCAATCGATCGCCGACCGCCGACAATGGATGTTTCGCGATACGTGTGATTTCGCGGGTGCGCGTTGCAGATGATCGCTGTCGCGTAATTGGCGAAACGTGTTATGCACGCCCCTTTTGACGAAAAAGCGGCTGAACCGCACGCCCGTTATTTTTATTCGATTGAAAATAACGCAACGGCGCGCGTGTTGTTTGCGCGTCAGTCGAGGCAGCCCGAGTCGTATGACCGGGAATGATCGTGTCAAATTCATGCGAAAATTAATCTCCGCAAATAGACCGTTATTTCCCGCCCACACATCGCGCGAATTGTCGATCACCGAATTCTGCGCTACGTTGTACGGTATTAAGACCTGTCGCGACCTCTCGCGAAGCCAATAATTTTATAATGCGGTGAACGCGCGACATTACGTGCTACCGTTACTCATTCGCGCCCTCGATTGCGGCATCGACGGCACATTCTCTCCCGGAGAGAGAAATACCATCGTTAAATTCTTTGCGAGGGTGGCGGTAGAGGTATAGGTGAATAGTCGGCGAGGCGGAAGAGGAAGTTATACGCCGACCACTATGTGACCTTCCAAGTCCTCGCTACACTTGGCGTCTGGTTATAATTAGTTCGTAACGTTTACTAGGAACGACGGAAGTGCTGCCCTGCACTTTTCTTGCTTGTGGTTCGCGTCTATTTTTGCGGACCAATAATCATGAATAATCGTTTCGCACGCATAAATTGTTTCACTTTAAATCTACCTACTCTTGGAAAAAGACAGGAAATGTGTTGAAAGTGTGGGGAAGAAAAACAAGTCGTGGGATTGTCTTCTGAGGTATAAATTAAATGCGGATCTTTAGAAAAGTATGTAAGGTCATCTTTAGAAATGAGAGGCGACTTGAGACAGAAAACGAAGGGATCTCGTTCGTCATCACTCATTTATCGCCGGGAGATTTCAGTAATAAACCTGGCGACTAGTGATAAGAGTTGGAGCCCCAGGGACCACGGATGAAACACAGGGAGGAAATAATCCTGATTAGTGTCTTCTGTGTACGGGTCACTGTTGGTCTTACCATTGTGAGTCCCGGAATCGCGACACTCGATCATAATGTGCGATTCGACGTAACCAAATTCAATGAAATTTGCAGAAATTTCTTAATTGCCGGCGAGGTAATCGAGGAGGCATACGGAATTATACGCTGAGAGTAAAAATATCTAAGAAAGAACACATATTTATTCGGTGAGTATACTAGTAACATATTCACTTATTTATACATGTAAAGTAGAGAATGTCTGTTTGCATGTTCCCTATATCAATTCCTAAACCCTTTGACACATCTGGACCAAATTTTGCATAGTTACTCTCTAGGACACTGCAGAAAATGTAGGCTGCCATGAAACATGGACATCCTACTTCCTCCCCTTGAATTTCATCCCCTTGACACTTTGCGGTAACCCGGGCGATGCCGGGTAGTTTAAGTATACTAATATATAAAATATTTGTAAGAAATAAATAAGAAATTATACATTTTCTTAAAACCTTGAGAAAACCTTAGTTTTTCAAGCAATTGTTTATTTAGATAAAAATAAAAATATAGATTTAAGTGAACATGTCACTAGTAACCATCCACCGAATAAATATTCACTATTTCGAAGACACTTTTTTCTCGGTGTGTAATGATCTTTTTAGTGATTAACTGTTACAAAATTGTCAACAATTATTAACACGCGTACGATATTGCTCGGTAAATAAAGCAAACAGACA